GCCTCGCGCCCCGGGCGCCTTCTTCCTTCCAAGGGACGCACGGACCGCTCGCCCGGCTCCCGCACCCGCTTCGCAGGTCCTCAGCTTCCCTTCACCCCAGACCCTTCCTGCCCCTCCTGCGTGAGCGGGGCTGGCGTCTCCCGGCCGGGATCGCGGTGGCTGGGGCGTGGAGTGGAGGTGGGGCGCGGACTGCCTTGTGCTTCTGTCGGGCGCCCTGGGTCGGAGGGGCCGGCGGACGAGGCCTTGGGCTGGGGCCTGGGGAGGGTGCGGCATGCAGAGGTCGGATTTAGGGCTTTGTACTCGCGGGGACTTGCACGGGCACCTGTGGGGCCGAGATCGGAACCACCTGTCTACAAATCCCCTTCCCCCAATGCCCTGCGCTATGTCCAGCTGTCCCTAGATCTAGGCCTTTACCACCATCCTGCGATTAGAATTTATTTTGGAAACGTTAGATTTTTGTGTTAACGATCAACTTACTATTCGCCGTGCAACAGTTGTGTAAATCTGTTCAAATTACGCCGTCGTTATTACGTGCTCCTAAAAAGGCCCTTTCTAGCTCCTAACATCCGTCGCGAAGATTCTGGCAGCGCATGGAAGAAATGCATAACGAGATACTGGTTCTCAAGGAACTAAAACGTTTTTTATCCCCAGAATAGAATTATATTTATTTAATTATTTATTTTACAACAAATATATACTATTAGGAAAAAAAAAAACCTGAAAAAGCTCATAGCAGTTTCATCTTCAAGAGAGCCACTATTAACAGTTTTGGGTACATAAACTATGTTCGTGTGTTACATAATTGGGATACTAATGCGATCTGCTTTTTTAACTTAATACATTGAAGACTTTTTCTATGTCGATGCATAAACATTTTTCCACTTGCACTGATTTGGACCTAAAGCGTGGGAGGCAGTAATTCTCTTCACCCTGCATCTTGGCTAATGGTCAGCCTTACAAGTAAAGACGCTTGTTAAAGATTTGATGAAGTATCACCGTAATGGCCAACATATTGGATAGAAATAAGCTGAATTCAGGGTAACACCATCTTTTGTAAAAAATATTTTTTTGCTTAATAATTTGAGGCAATGTTTTTTCAGACAGATTGCAGTTTTCAATCCATTGGTGAATTGTAAAATTCATTTGATGAGTCATAACTAGCACTTAAAAAAACGAAATAAGATAGTATAGAAAATACCAGAATTCATTACATTACGTGTAATGAGGGTATTGTTTTGCAAAACTGTGTGCACAGGGGTGTGTGTGTGCATGTGTACCCGCGTGTGCGTGCTGGTTTGTGATATAAAATGTATTGTTTTCTTGTGCCACGATATTTAAGTTTGAAAGTCCCTAATCCAAGGTACTGTCAGTACTCATCTCGGAATGGGAGCATTGATGCAAGTAAGCTAAACATTAGTTTTACTCTCTTCTTTGGAATATATTACAGGGTTTATTGTAGCAAATTAGATTCCTAATTGTTTGCTTTCACCTAATATTAAAACAAGTAATTAGCATTTCTGAAAATGCAGAGAAGGAAGCGTTTTATAGAAAATAAGAGGTTAAGAGCATACATAAACTGGTCAGATTGACCTACGGTCAAATCCCAGCTACACTGGTTATTGGTGTGTGATCTGGAACAAGACACTGCTGCTTTCTAAACCTCAGTTTCCTGATTTGTAAAGTGGGAGTTATCATAACACCAGCTTCATAAAGCTGTTTGATTTTTAGATAAGATAATGCTTGTGAAACTGTGGACAGAGCCTGGTACAGATTAAATACTAACTAAAAGTTAGCCATTATTATTTTAATAAGACTGAACGGGAGGTATCCAGGATAATGTTTGTCATCAGAGATAAACTAGCATAATGGGGGTAATCGAAAAAAGTGAGAAGTTGAAAATCAGGCTAACGTAACGAAAGAGATGCTAAATTATGATTTTTTACATCATTTGGCCATTGTTTTCTGGTTGCTCCCCAATTGTATTCATGTTCCTAGACAGGTAATTTAGATGATCTCATTCAATAAACCAAATGCCCTTCTATTGTCTTTTCTAGTAAATTGGTGTCTCTCTTGTCAGGCAATTGAAAATTATTTCCCATAGGGATTCTGAATTTTATTAGCTCTTATTTCAGCACGGTAGTCAGCTTGAGAAACACAGTACAACTCTGAACTCATTTCAACAATGTGTTTATCTCTGCAGCAGGTACAGATCTCAAGTGTGCAAGAAATAATCTTAAAAAAAAATGCAACTTTATCTGTTCAGAGACCATTATGCTGAAGTCTTCTCAGACAATTCAGAGATCTCTGTTCACTGCCTCAGAACGTTTTATGCAGTTTTCAGTGTTACCTAAACCAATGAAATAAGAGTGTAAGCATTGTTATTTTTATGAAATAAAAATATGCTTTCAACTAAAAAAGGAAAGCAAAAATAAATTGGATGTGACAATTGTAAAAGGTTGGATAAAATCTTAATCACAGTAGTGCTCACAGTTTTGAAAATGTCTTTAAGTTCTTGTTCTGCCTTAGAGGAACAAAAATGGAAACTTGTTGAATGCAAATGAGGTTTTTGAAAATATGAAAAAAATATAACTTGGAACTCTAGCTGTCCTATGCGCACACACACAAAAAAATTTAAAAAACCTTGGTGAAACAAAAAAGCCTAACCTAAAACATACATTTCTGTATTTTACATTAGATAAAATATTAAGGTGAATTTTTAAAATCATCTTATTGACTAATTTTTAAAACGTTAACTCACCAGTTACTAGCGCTTGTCAGATAAGAGGGCTTTTACACTGATAAAATGAAATATTATGCAATTATTAAACATTCCATTTTGGAATGATATAATGTCATACAGTAGAGCTCATCATATACAGTTAAGTGAGAGAGGAAGCTATAGAATAGGCCGTATAGTACCATTCCATTTTTGTAAAAACATGTTTAGAACAAAGGAGAATATATGATAAATGTTAATGGTGGATGGTGGGAGTATGGCTGATTTTTATGCTCTTTATTTTAGTTTTATAATTGTATTATAGTAAGTGTTTTACTTTCATAATTAAAATAAGTAAAAGTCGTTTTTTAAAGAAAAATTAGCGTTTTTCTAATTTACAAGTGTAATGAGACTAAATCTTTGCTCTAAGGGATAGTGATTCTTTGAACTTGGATATTTTGGGTATAAACTAATTCTCCAGTATTCTAGGAAATGGTGCCGAATAGTTTATATTCCGTGAAAAGCTCCTTTGAGTAGGAAAGCACTGTTGTTCCAGAATTTTCTTAAAGCACTCTTTCAGTATAGTATATTGCTTTACAAAATATTTCCACACTGCCTAAAGATATGGTCTAGATTCTTTAGTCTGCTTTTAAACCCTATCATGTCAAAACTCAAATTTACTTTTCTTGCTTTGTTTCCCCTTAAATTCTTAAATGAAACTTTAGCTACACCTGAATTTGTCAACTTATTATCTCCAAATACACCTTGTGCTTTGTTGCTTTTATACATTTGCTTCTTTGCTACTTCTTAGCATATCTTTTCTTGACCTCTGTGTAAGGAAATTCTACCCATTTTACAATGTCGGGTTAAAAAACTGTATCTACTGTGACATCCTGGCCCCTCGAGCTAATACTGAATTTTGCAACTGAACCCATTAGCACTTATTATTTGTGCTTAGACATTTCTCAGATACCATGTAGTATTTTTGTATTAATTTCCCAATTCTATTTTAAAGTCCTTGAGAGCAAGACAGTTTGTCTTACATTTCTGTCTCTTAGAGCTTCTAGCATGGAACCCTGCACAGTATAGGTGCTAATAAGTATTTATTCCTTGATTATACAGTAGTGTCACTGGCTCATTTGAGTTAGAATTTTTTGTTAATCAGTAATCCTGGATAGGAGTCAACACTTTGCCTACAACAATGTGGAAAAATAAAAAAAAATGATAATTTGGCCTAATTGTCAACTGATATAAATAGATGATGAAGAATTGACAGAATTTTTCATTAAAACTAACACAGAAGCTAAGAGTTGGGTTAGTCAAGGACCTAAACTTAATTTCACATAAATATCTCTTTCAGAAGTTTCTCATGAAGCTTATTTTGGGTTTGATATTATCTTTGCTCTTAACCTTACCAGAGGCACAGTTTTGCCTGACATTCTCTTACAGTTGCTATTTCTGGACCCCAGAAATTTGATGTATTTGATGAGGGGTTATATGGGCCATCAGTTACTCTGCTACTGACCATCTTAGGAGGTCATGTTGGAGTCAGCGAGTCATAGTATGTAAAGTGCTTTGTGTTCAAGAGTTAATATTTTTTCTTTTATTATTATTGGAAACAAAATTGTGTCACTTTTCAAACTTAAATATGACTTGGAGGTACTCCTTTGGCTAATGGTAGACATGGGGCTTATCTTTTTTAAAAAATTGTTTTATTTTATTTTACAGATGTTTGCCAAGACTAATATAGCTGATGAAATACTTACTCTTTTCTGCTTAAGGTAAATGATTTATTACTTTATAAAAACAGCAGGTACCAGTAGCGCTCAGAGTTTATATAAAAAGACCTATTCTGTCATGCAATGTAATATAAACCTGAACCCCAAAGAAATGATCTCATTAGTAAGTAAGAATTTTATTAGTACTTGAAAGTGGTGATTTATATTATTGGTTCAGCCTATATCGGAATTACCTGGGAGCATTTTAAATATGCGTAGAGTGCATGTGCCTGGTTCCCCACCAGCAGATTTTGATACAGTAAGATTTTCAGATGGGGTCCTAGCATGTGAAGTTTTAAAAAAGCCATCAGGTGCTTTATTGTAGCTCATTCTTATTGTAGCATGTAAATGACACTAGAGATAACGGAATTGCAAGTAATAATGCTATGAGAGTTAAAGGAAATAAGGGTTAAAGATCAAAATAATATCTAAAGTCTTTAAATTTGTGCGTGTGTGTGATGTTAGATTCATACTTTTGTTTTGCCGTTCATTCAGTGAATGATTAAATTGTATTTTAAATAAAGCACTGAAAAGTTGTATATTATGACTTTCAAAATTTAGGTTTAAGCTCTAGGGTTCTCTCAGCCTGAAAATTACCATAGCTATAAATACAACTTAAAGCTTGTTTGATTTTGTTGCTTCAGATTACAAATGAAGTAAATTAATGGAAATAAGACCAAATTTTAAGTAAGTAATTTCTTATATATTCTTTATTTCAGAGGCTGGTTTAATTGATTTATTTTTCCTGTAAGCGTGAGAAGTCAAAAAGTCAATTTTTCATAATTAAAGGTAATCGGTAAGTGAATGTTATGATAGCATTTTGATTTAATAAAGTTTTTCTATTCTCATTTTATTGGTTTTTAAGGCTGTGATTTCATTTTTTAAACATTGATTTTAATGAGTAAACTTTTTTGTTGCAGGGTCATCCTTATCAGAAATATAACACATTATAGGCTCATTCTGTTAATATATATTCTGACAGAAGATGTATAAAATAATTAGAATTAAAAAGTTGATGAAATTATTTCTTACAATTCTGTTTTCACTTTAAGAAAACAGCCAAAAAAACTGCATTGTATTGCATTTGTTACTTAAAATACTCATAAACTATATACACTTTATGTCAGTGAATGAATTGAGAGTGAATCAAAATTACCTGGGAGTTTAAAAAATTCTGAATTCTAGACTCGATCTCCGCTCTACAAAGTCAGAATTTTGGGGTATGATTTTGATAGTTCTTTTGATTTGGGAACCACTGCAGTCTGTAATGTTGAAGGATTGTATTTTTAAGGGGTAGAAAATTGGAAACTATTTGTAGAGAAATCTCATTAGACCAATTGGAAAAAATTCCTTATATTTATTTGGTTTATGTAATTGTCAGAACTATCTTGTGTTTCAGAGACTAAATTAGTTGTTATTTTGATTTTTAGCAACTTTGTTGGATAAATTATTTTAAAATCTTCCCCTTTCTGAATTAAGCAGAAAATACAAGTGATAGAGAATTAGATGTTATATATGACACTGACAGTTGAAGTCATCTGAGATTTTGTATAGAAACGTAATGGGAAAATTAATGAGTTTCATAACATATAGTAAATATACTATAATAAAAACTTAGAAACAGTAATTTGTCTTTAAATTTGAGTACTGTATTCTTCAATACTGAATTCTCAAAATGCTAACAAGTTATCAGAAAATTGATAAAAATTTTAGTCATTTAGATTTCAAATATTGGCAACAAGCTATTTTCTTAGAAGATGCAACGCTATCATCTCTACTCCAGGATCACTGATTGATTCCATAGCTCATGGAAGTCTTATCTATTTTCATAATAATGAGAAATAAGAGTGGGTAGAACTTAAGAATGTATTTCTGTTCTGTGATATTATCGTAGCTATTTTCCTCATGATTGTAAGGAATTACTGTGATTTTGCCTTTTTTCCTTCAGTTTTGGTAGTCAACGACAACATCCATTTGACTTTGGTTATTCAATATGCAGAGCAGACAAGGATATTGCAGCTATTGCTGTGTGCGCTATACTAATTTGGAACAGGTGAGAGGATCCTATTAATGTTTATACCTCAAAGGACATAGCCATAATTTTCTCTCCTTTTACATTTTATTAAGTGCATTTATTCATTCATTGAACAGGTCATATTAAGAATATATCAGCTGCAAAAAAAAAAAAAAACAACCAGTTGGCAGACACTGTTTAAGGTTCTAGGGATATGACCATGAACAAAACCAGATCCCTTTATTTATAAAGCTTTTGTTATAGTGCAATAAAACAAAATAGTCATATAAATTTAGTACATAATATATCAGATTGTGATAGATGTTATGAGGAAAATAAAAGAAGGAAGGGAGTACAATATTAGGTAGAGCAGCCAGGTAAGGAAGTGACAGTAGAGTTGGTATTTGAATGAAGTGTGGGAGCCAGGCTTGCTTATATTTGGGGGAAGAATTTCTAGGTAGAGGGAAGAGAGAGCAAGGACAGAGACCCTGAAGCAGAAGGATGGTTGGCATGCTAACCAAAAGCCAGGAGGCCAGTGTGGTTGCATTGGACGTAGGGTGGGGGTTAGATGGGTGATCAGTGAAGAATTTAGAGAATTAGATTCTGTAAGACATTGTAAAATAAAGTAAGGACTTTGAATTTTATGGTTTGATGCAAAATGTTAAATTTTGCTGTAATTCCATTTAGCTCCCCCACCCCGCCCCCACCCAAACACACACTTTGTTGCTTGTGTTTTCGGTGTCATAAAGATTGCCCAATCTAAAGTCATGAGGATTTATGCCTGTGTTTTCTTCTAAGAGTTGTTTAGTTTTAGCTCTTCCATTTAGGTCTTTGTATATGATGTGATTTAATTACCTCCTAAAAGCTCTGTGTCCAAAAACAGTCACATTGGTGGTTAGATCGTCAACATCTGAATTTTGGAGGTACAGAATTCAGCCTATAGCAATTACATCAATTGAGTTTGAGATGTTAAACCAATTTTCAACCCTGGGATAAATGTCACTTGGTCATGGTATATAATCCTTTTTATATGTTGCCGGATTTGCTTTGTTGAAGATTTTTGCATCTATATTCATAAGGGAATTTTGTCAGAGCTAAAGTAATATAATGAAATTCTGGTTCTGCTAGAGCTAAACTGTTTCATCTCAGATGATGTCAAATACAGGCTTATAATATGTAAAAATTCCTCTATTTAGTGGTATTTGTTTTGTTTAATTATCTAATAGTAATCACTTAAATTCATACTAAAGAATCTTTTATTGTGATTGCCACACCTCTGGCCCTTTAAAAAAGAAATACTTTTTAATGCTGGTTATAAACATGAGGAGGCAGATAATCTCAAAGCTCTCTTTAATATTTCATAAATTATTATCACTTGACTGGGAGATTATTTGTTGAACCTTTGATAATGACAAAACATATTAATCTTTTAACTATAACTTCTGTTCAATAAGCTTTCATATAATTTTTTTGCTTAAGGTTTAAAACAATAATTTTTGGACATTTGGATACTCCTGTACTAAACTGACATTTAAAAAGACTCTGTTGATGACAGCCAAGGTAATTTGTACTAATTATAAAAGATTGTGTGTATGTGTATATATATATGTATATACACATATATATGTATGTGTGTGCATATATATATTTCAAGGCTTTGAGAACTGTTAAGGCAGTGAAGAAGTACGTGGTTCAGATCTAGCCGAATATTCAACAGAAACAAGCCTAAAGAAAGAAAACAACTACTAACTGAGAATTCTCTATTCAATAAGTACATCCTTTAAAAAAGAAGATGAAAAGAGACATTTTCAGAAAACAAAAATTAAGGGAATTTGTCACCAGCCGATCCTTTCTAAAGGAAATAGCAATAGGAGTTCTTCAGGTAGAAGGAAAGTGATTCCAGGTGGAAGCTCAGAGATACGGGAAGGAATGAAGAGCAATGGAAAGGTAAATATGTAGGCAGTCTAACTGAATAATATCTTGTGGGATTAACAACAATGGCATATAAATTGGAAGGGATGTAAATTGAGTTAATTCCTAAAGATCTTTTATTGTTCAAGAAGAGAGTAAAAGTAACAAGTAGTTATAGACTTTGCTAGGTCAACGTTGCTTGTTGTAATCTGTTAACACTAATGGACTAGGAAAAAAGTCTGTAACTGCTAAGATAATAGAAAGGGAAAAATTGGAATAATAAAAAATAGTTCACAAGAAGGCAAGAAAGAGAAATAGGGACATCGTATTGGCAAGAATAATGAAAACATTTAAAAATAAAAACAAAGATTAAATCCAAATATATTAAGTGAAAATAGACTTGATGCTTGAATTAAACTATATGCAATATTTTATCAGAGGTTCTAGCTAGGGAAATAAAAATGATAAAGATTATGTAAGAATAAATAAAACTATTGTTTGTGTATAACGTGATTGTGGAATAGACAGTTCTAGAGATATCTAAATAAACTGAATTGATAAGTGAGTTTAAAAAGCTTGTTCAACCAGCATAAAAAATTGTATTTTTATACACAAATACCACACGGAAAATGAGATTTAAAAAATATATAATGGCTTCAGAGAAACCAACTTTTAGGAAATAAATATAATAAAATATCTTTATAAAGAAAAGTATAAACATTTAGAGAAATTTAAGAAAAATTACATAATTGGTGTGATAGATCATGTTTATGGATTGGAAAAATAAATGTTGTAAACACTTCAGTTTTGTCCAAACTGATACAGTGATTCAGTGACATTCCAATAAAAATTCCAGCAGATTTTTAAAAATAAGCCAATTCTAAAAATGTGTATGGACATGGAAAAGGCTGAAAAGAACCAGAATAATCTTAAAGATGAACAAAGAGGACTTACTGTACCAGCTACAAAACTTATTATTAAATTATAGTTATTAAGACAATAGTACCAAGATAGAAAGGCCGTGGAAATAAATCAGAAACTCCAGAAATAAATATGTGGATATTTGATTTGTGTGACAAAGGTGGCACTAAAGAGCAGTGATGACAACACTTTTTTCAATAAGTGATACTGGGTCAATTGAATATTCATATGGGGGAAAAATGAAACTTGCTAAATCATTTTGGATATAAATATCAATTGCAAGTACATTGTAGATATAAATGTTGTAGGCAGAACAACACTTCTAGAAACAAATAGAAAATCTTCATGACTTGGGATAGAGATTTCTTAAACTGGTCACAAGAAGCACTGACAAAAAAATTGGTAAACTGGACTACAGTTAAAAAACTATAGAAGATGATTAAGAAAGCGAAAAGGTACCCTGCAACTATTCTTGGAAAAGATATCAGATGTACTTTGTGTGTGTGTGTGTGTGTGTGTGTGTATACCGGTAAAATTTTATTTATGAACACATACAGATACACGTATACATGAAGTGTAAAGGCAAGCCACATAGAGGAAGATAATACTTGAAACACACAATTCAACAAAAGAGCTCATGTTCACAATAAATAATTCCTATAATTCATTAAAAAAATCTATTTGAAAAACAGGAAGAGACTTTAAGCACATCATAAAAGGGGATATGTACAGACGAAAAAGTGGCCACTACATACAAAAAGCTATCACAAAAATTACACATTAAAGCCACAGTGATATAACATTAAACCCCCTCTACAATCGCTAAAAATAAAGAGACTGACAATATCAAGTGTTGATGAGTGAGTAGAGCAATGGAGACTATGATTCACTGCTTGTGGGGGTATAAAATGGAACAACCACTTTGGGAGACTAGTTAGCAGTGAGTACTAAAGCTGAACATATGCAAACCTTATGGCTCCGAAGTTCCACTCCTAGTAATATACTCAACAAAGTATGTGCACACGGGCACCAAAATACATATAAGAAAGTTTTTGCAGCATTATTGGTCATAGCCAAAAGCTGCAAACAAGCACAAATGTCCATCAAGAGCAGAATGAATAAAATATGGTATAATCATACAATGAAATACTACACAGAAATGAAAATAGACTACAGCTAATTGGATAGGTATCACAAGTAAAATGTTGAGTGAAAGACCTGAATGCAAAAAAAGGTATGATTTTATTTATATAAATTCAGAAACTTTTAAAATTATAGTATTAAAACTTAGGATAATAGTTACTTTTGGAGCAGAGGGAATATTTGATTGGGACATTAGGGGGTTCTGGGTGCTTATTAGTTTTTCATGATTAGATGGTTATGGATGTGCTTTACTTTGTGTTTCGTGGACTATGTAAGTTATATGTCAGTTCAGAAAATTTAAAGACACTGACACCTTTTTCTGGGATATATAGTGTAGTGTTTACTGTGGTTATGTAAGTGTGCTTTTCCATTCACATTGCTTTTTCACTTTTTATCTAGGCAGAGGGAGGACAAGATTGGATTTGTTTCCTTGTGCATTTGTTCCATTCATCACCAGGCAGTCTAGCTCTGGTCATGGGTACTGGATGGTGGGGAGTTTTGTAGCCAGAGAATCTTGAGATTGTAATTTAGGTTGTTACTGGGGCTAAGGCAGCACCAGAGTAGACTCCTGAAATCAGCATGGAAGGAAATAATTCTGAGTTGTAATAGTGGTCAGGAGCTAATATCCAGTTTTAAGTTCTTTTGACACATTTACAGTAGTATTTAAAACATGACTTTCCCTAGGTATTGTTCAAACATGTTATTAAATGGTTTAACTTAATGCTCACTTCTGTAGCACATATACTAAATTGTCTAAATTATGTTAGAAATATGGCATTAGTACTAGCATTAACATGATACAGTGAAAAGAATAAGCTGTAACACAGATTCACTTATTTTGCTAGGTACACAACGTTGGTCAATTTAAAAATTTGTGCTTTAATCCCTTCATATCAAAATGGGGACAAGATTTATACTCAGTGAAAATTCAATGAGATTACTGTGTAAATATAATAACACTCTGACATGTTATATGTGTTCTGTAGGTATCAGACTTCTTTTCCTTCCCTCTTGGTAATTTACTAGTAAAGGAAGAATCTTTCTTGCTTTCTTTTCTTTCCTTTTTTTTTTTATTTTTCATTTTTTTATTGTGACGTTGGTTACCAAAATCCAGTAAGTTTCAAGTGTGTAATTCAACAATAAGTCATATATATTTTGCATTGTATGTTCACTGCCCATAGTTAAATTTCTTTCTGTCACCAAAGAATCTTTCTAACTGGAAAGAATTATAAAACTGAAAAACATAGTGTACTTACTCCATTATTCATTTTAAGGAAGGATTTTTTAATCTCTGAAAGAAAATGATGGCCTTTTTGTGAATTAATCTTCGACTTTTTACAAATACAGTGATCCTCTTTCTTTAAACAACTTTTTATTAAAAGTGTTTACTTATTGAAAACTATGAGACTTTATAAGAGCAAATTTTAAATTTCCTATAATCATACCACACAGATATAAATACTTTATAGATTCTGGTATATTCCATTTATTTGCCTATACATTTTTAAACTAGTAGAAATAAAAGCATACATAAGATATTCATATCCCCCATTTTCCCTTTAATATGTAACAGTTCTCCATGTTGTTAAAAATTCTATTATTATTTTAGGTAGCTGCATAGTATTACATCTTAAGGTATATTATAATTTAAGGATTTGAGATTTCCAGTTTTTTGTTATGCTTTGATAAGCATCTTTTTCTTTTTGCATAAACCATCCACATTTAAAATGATTCCCTTAGGGGAGATTTAGAGAAATGTAATATTATATCTAATGGAAAGATACTTTTTTGGATTTTAGATGTACATTTTAGATTTGTTTTATAGAAAGAGTATATCAATTTATACTTCTGCCAGGAGGATGTAAATGAACCTGTTTCAGAAAACTCACTGCTAGTATTATCCATTTTAAAATGTTCAGTTTCTTTTTTCTTTATAGCATATGTCCAGTGCTCAGCACAGATACTTGACCACACAGAATAGACAACGGATGGGTACCAGTAGCTTGATGGAACGTTTCTTGCAGGATGTACTGCGACACCACCCGTATCATTATCAGGAGAGCAGGTAAAGTAACTGAGTAGAATAATACTAGTACATAGTTATATGTTACAGTAGATATTTTTGTTAACATTTCAGTACTTCTTAAAGTGAATATTTGTTTTTTTTATTTTATTTTCAATTACAGTTGACATTTAACATTATATTAGTTTCAGGTATACAGCATAGTGGTTAGATGTTTACATAATTTGTGAAGTGATCCCTCCGGTAAGCCTAGTACCCACCTGGCACCATGCATAATTATTACAATATTATTGGCTATATTCTCTATGCTGTACTTCACATCCCATGACTATTTTGTAACTGCCATTTTGTATTTCTTAATCCCTTCACCTTTTTTCACCCCTCTCCCATTTGGCAATCATCAGTTTGTATCTATGAATCTCTTTTTGTTTTGTTTGTTCACTTATTTTGTTCTTTAGATTCCACATATAAGTGAAAGCATATGTTATTTGTTTTTCTCTTTCTGACTTATTTTAAAGTGAATCTTTGAATCACAATTTAAAATGAAGTTTTCTGTAGTAACTTCCCTTTGCAATTACTGCAAAAAATTTTTCCTAGCTTAAGAAGTTTCGCTATAAAAGATAGGGACTACATAATGCTTTTTTCAATTGAAACTTTTAGGCCAGTAAATAATCATATGTCATTAAGATGTTTTATAAGTATGTCATAGGCTTAAATTAAGCAGGGGGAAAAGGTGGGAGCAAAAAGAGCTTTTAAAAGATTATTAGCAGAAAAGCTGGTGACAGTAGCAGAGTAAGTGCGGTCAAAGTAAACACTGAGTTCCACATCAATGAAACTATTTGCTCACACTAAGGTATCAAATAGAGTTGGCTCTTTTTATAATCTGTCAGTATCTTGATAGCTTTCTCGTGTATCAGTTTATTTTGGTTATTTTAATAAAAAATTTTTGTAACATTTAAAAGTTAATATCCTATGTTAAAGAAAAACATTGGTAGAAAATAGGATTAAGTACTGTGGTGAGTTTGTAGCTGCAGCTGCACAAGATAAGGCAAATAGATCATTAACACATCTGTGTAGAATTAGTTAAGCACCAAAGGTAGAAAAAAAGGACAAACTTTTCTACCTTGCCTTGCAAGTATGCTTTGCAAGTCACCAACCTAGAATTTAGCAAATGTAGAAAAGGTTTTAATGGGAAAAGTTAGAAAAATATGGTTTTTTTTAGCTGATAGAATTAATCTATCTTAGGGTCAGTATAAATTTCCAGTTTATAGCTTGTATAAGCAATGCTTCAGCAAACGTATTTGTATATGTAACTATTTTTGTGGTGTAGATTTCTATAGTTGAACTTCTGGGCTAAAGTTTATGGACATTAAAAATGTTTTTTTTTGTTTTTTACCATTTCATTTTGGAATAATTTCAGGTTTACACAAAAGTTGCAAAACTCATGCAAGGAATTCTTGTATAACTTTAATCTGGCTTCCCCAGATGTTAAATCTAAAATAACCACAAATCCATGAAATTACATTGATACCATACTATTTATAGACCTTATTCAAATTTTGTCAGTTGTCTTACTGATGTCCTGTTTTTTGACCAGTGATTTAGTCCAGGATCACACATTGCATTTAGTTGCCACATCTCTTTTAGACTCCCTTAATCATGAACAGTTCCTCAGTCTGTTTTTGCTTTCAAGACCTTGACACTTTTAAAAGAGTACTGGCTAGTTGTTATGTATGATATCCCTAAATTTGGGTATACCTGATTATGCTTTCTCATGACTAAACTTAGATTATACATTTGGGGCAAAAATTAATTATAATTGATAATAATTGATGTCTTGCCCTCCTCAGTGTATCAAATCAGGAGACCCATGATGTTGCCATGTCTCATTCACAATGTAATTAGTAAAACTCATAGGAAAGTACTTTGAGACTATGTAAATATCCTGTTTCTTTTCTTACTTTCACCGACTTAATTTAATTTAAGCATTCATTAATGATTCTTTCCTGAAACAGTTATGACATGTATTAATCAGAATTCTACTATAAAGAGTTTTCTCATTTCCTCATTTATTCAGTTATCTATTTATATCATTATAAAATCATGGATATGTCTCTTGCTCTGTGGGTTTTAATCCATTACTATTATTTCTTTTATTGCTCAAATTGTTTAAGGAAATTTTAAATTCTTGATAGACACTTCCTAGAAGACTGTACCAATTTATATACAATGTATACAATTAGTGTAGATACATACACACCAACAGTATATGAGAGTAGTCATTTTGCGGTCATTCTTGCCAACACTGGAATTATCAACTTCTTTTTTTTCTCCCCAACATAATAGTCCAAAAAAGTGTATTTCTTAATCAGCCTTTATTTATTTATGGGTAACATAGAACTTCTTTTAGCCATGTATTTATTCTGTGAATATATTTTGTCTATTTTTCTATTGAATTATTTGTATATTTTGGATTTGTATGCAATATTTATGAATAATAGTCCTTTGTATTTTAAGTATGTTATAAATATTTTCTCAGAATCTGTTATATCTTTAAATTGTGTGGGTTATTTTTTATGATACAGAAATTAAACATTTTGATATCATCAGCTATAAGGGGAATTATGCCCTTGTTTCTTCTTTTAAATATTTATAATCTTCCTGGAATCTTTTTAATATGTGGTGTGAGACAGGACTTCTTATTTTTTACAAATGTATATTAATTATCTCCACTAATATAATATTATCACCTGTAACATAAACTAAATTTCTACATTTGAGTGTATTGATCTCTGTTTATATCTACATATTTGATTTTGAATACAATTTTCTTTCCTCGAGTTTTTTTAATCGCATGCCAGCACCACATTATTTATAAGCTCTCTAAATTATAGTTTTTTAAAAAAATTTCTTTTCTCTTCCCTCCTTGTTTAGACATTGTAGGTTTTTCTACTATTTTAGCCTGAAAAAGCAGCTCTTGCTTTATTTTTGTTTCCTACTTAGTGGTTTTTTCTTAATTTATTTCTTCAACTTTCTTGGGGGAGGAATTTGGTTATTTTTCTATCCTCTTGAATTAGGTGCTCATTTAGTTCATTTGTCTTTACTAACTCTTTTTTAATGGAAGGTTTAAACATGTGAAGTTTTCATTTTGATCACATCTCATAGATTTTAATATATAGTTGTATTTATAGGTAGTTTAAAATTTTCACTTTTTAGCACAAATGGGCTAAAATGAGTAGAAATACAGGTTGCGATTTGTTAACTTTAAACACACACATACAATACCAGTGCAAATCAAAGTATGTATATTGATGATTCCTAACCTTTTGACAATTTTGCCAGCTTGTTGGTTTTTGTGATTCTGCTTGTCTTTCTTTTCTTCCTTTCTTAGCCAAATACTACAAAATTGATATTAGTTTTAGGATGTTGTGATAGTCTTTAAGATAAATGGAGATATTCTCCTAGGGTTCTCAAAAACTATGATAAAGTGATGATTGGACTGCAATTTTACTAATTAGAATTCAGAAGTATGAAAAATTATGGATATTTTTGCCCCATCATGATATTACTTTGATACTGGGTTAACTTTTTTATTTTACAAATACCAACAAACATTATCTTGGTATTAATTATGTAATAAATTTTTATGGGAAAGAGAACAATAGTAACATGACATGTTAAAAGAAGTTACATGTGGTCAACACATGTATGCAATATTCTCTTAGACAACTGTGCCATCTCTAATTGAAAAATATTTAATGAAAGTATTTTTTAGGTGTTAATCTATTTAAATGTTTTTTATTATTTTTAATAGGCTCTTTTTTTTTTTTAGGACAGATTTAGATTTATAGAAAAATTGTCAAGATAGTATAGCCATTCATGTTTATTAAGTAGCAGTTGGTGGAGCTACTTTCTTCTTTTGCACTGATTATCTTCCTGAAATACATTATTATACAGCCTGGTGTGATTACCTTGATCTTTGTTCTCTAAGAATCTGGCCCAGGAGAAAAAAAAAAAAAACATTTATTATGCCTTTATTTTAACATCTTAAACAGATATTAGAATATTTTTGTGATTTTTTTTTTTCTCCCTTTATAGATCAAGGCAAAATGAGAGACTTCTTAGGAATACTGCACCATCTTCTGAAGTGGTTCCTATTGATGATTCTGTTCCTGAAGAAATGGCCGATGATGCTACTGGAGTCAGAGGAGAGATAGCCACCAAAAGTTTTGAACCTCTTGAAGAGTTATATTCTAGACCTAGTAAATCTCAAGAATATACGCAGGGTGTTCCAGTTAGACCATCAGTTATTCAAAAGTTGGAGAAGGGGCAGCAGCAGCCCTTGGAGTTTGTTTATAAAATTGGGAGTGGCTTGAAAGAATTTAATCCAGTAGGTATTGGTCAAACTACAAATAACAGACAAAACTTATTATATCCCTCAGTGATTTCTACTGCTCCTGCTAGTCGTTTAGCTGAAAGTTCTTACGATCGACCAGTTACAACTAATAGTACTAGGTTACCACTAGCAGCCCATTCGGATTCAGTTATCAAATGTGACCCAAACAAAGTTGACAGATATCTTGAACAGCGAGACAGGGGCTCTAGAAATCCTATGTTCTCATCCCATCTAGCAGCTTCTTCAGTTATATGTCAGAAATCTAAAGAATCAAATAGGAAATCTGGATTTATAAAGTCAGATAAATTGAGAATTCAGGAAGATGTAAAATCTCGGGGTAAAACTTTGTCAACTGGCTTTAAACCTCATGAATGTGAGGGTACTGCAGGCTCCTTAAAATTTGAATCTCTTTACAAATCTGCAGTAAACCCAGCAGTCAACCTAAATAAAACTGATACACCGTCTAATAAGAGAATCTTTGAAGATGCCATTCCTAAGCACCATGAGAAATTCTTTAATATGGATCGTAACCAAGAAGTAAAGCATTTGGTTTTTAAGAAGTCAGCCTTTTTGGGACAGAAGAGCTCAGCGAGTTCCGAAATGGAGTTTGCTTGTAGCTCTCCTCAGTCAGTGTCTGACCAACAAGACGAGGCTGTACGAGACCTTTGGAGTGAGGAGCAAATTGACCAAGAAAATAAGAACTATGAATCAAGAGGTTCTGAAATGAGTTTTGATTGCAGTTCCTCTTTTCACTCACTAACTGGCCAATCTAAAGTGACTACCAAAGAAATACACCTTTCAAAGGAAGTACATGCTGCTTTGCAGCCTAAGAGTAATAAATCTTATGTTTCTGAAGTAAGTTCTGATTGTGATGGCCCGCTTCAGCTGGCTACCAACCGAACTCAAGTAATCGTTAAAGGCATTAGTGTTCAGAAGGCAGTACCTATTAGCCTGGTTGATGAATGCTATGATTCTAGTGATTCTGAGATGAATTTTGATTGTGATACCTCACTTCAGTCAACTGATGACTACCCTCAACAGCCTGCAAAAGAAGTAGACCTTCCTAATGGGGCACACATTGACTTGGTTGATAAGAACTATGGATCTAGTGGTTCTGAAATAAGTACTGATTCTATTTTTCCACTTCAGTCAGTTGAACAACTCCCTGTGGCTGTCACAGAAACAGAACTTCAGAAGAGTGTTCACATTGGCTTGGTCGATATGAACTATGGATCGAGTTGTTCTGAAACAAGTTTCGATTCTGATGTTTCTCTCCAGTCAGTAGTTGTCCATCCCCAGCGGGCTGGCAAAGAGTCAGTAGTTGTCTATCCCCAGCTGGCTGGCAAAGAAAGAAACCTAAAAGATAGGCATGTCTACCTGAAAGATGAGACCCATAGATCCAGTAGTGCTAGAGCACATTTTGATTGTGAGCTCTCTGTTGAGACAGTGACTCATGAACCTCAGAGGGCTGTTGAAGAAATAAATCTTCTGAAAGAGAAGAATGACCTTGTGGATATGAACTGTGAATATTATGGTTCTGAAATGAGTTTTCACACTGATGCTCAGTTAGTGGCTGACCAACCCCAAGTAGCGGGTCAGGAAGTAAAACCTCAAGAAGTAGCTACTGACCTACAGAATAAGAGTGCTAACTCTAGCGTTTCTGATCTAAGTTTTGATTCTCATGCTTCTCTTTATCAGTCATCTAAGGAACCTCTTGGAACTCTGAGTGATATAAATCTGAAGGAGTTAAGTGTTGACATGGAAGTTAGGAGCAATGGATGCTCCAGTTCTGAGTTGACTTTTGATTCTGATCCCCCTGTTCTGTCAGTTACTAAACATTCTGAGCTGGATGTTGAAGAAATAAGAAAAAAGCACATTAACCTGGAAGACGAAAGCTATGGGTCAAATAGTTCTGAAATAACTTTTGATTCTGATATTCCTCATTGCTCAGTAGTTGACCAGTCTCGAGCAGCTATCTATGGGGAGGAACCTATTGGTTTGCGATATAAGGGTAATGAATCTTGTGTTTCTGAAATAGCTTTTGATTCTAATAAACCTCTTCATTCAGGTACTGATCACCCTGGAGTAGTTAGAGAAATAATTATTCAGAAAGAAAACTATGTCAACTTAGGGAAGACAAATAATGAATCTCTTGGTTCTGAAATAAGGTTGGATTCTTATGCCCCTCTTCATTCAGTGACAAATCCTCCTGAAGTAGCTGTTAAAAGGTTAAATCTTCAAGAAGAACAGGTATACTGTGAAGGTAAGGAAAATGAACCTACTGGTTCTGAGTTAAGTTTGAACTATAATATTTTTCATTCAGTAATTGGACATTCTGCAGATGTCATTAAAGAAAGACACCTTCAGAAAGAAGAACATGTACACTTAGAAAACACAGATAGTGGATCTCGTGTTTCTGAAATGAATTTGAAATCTTATCCTTCTCATCTAGTGACCGATCGTCCTGACATAGCTGTAAAAGAAATAAACCATCAAAAAGGAGACCACACAAACATAGAACATAAGGGGAGTGAATTAAGTGTTTCTGAAAGAGGTGTGAATTTTCGTATCCCTTTTCAATCAGTGATTCACAAAACTGCAGCAGCTGTTAAAGAAATGTGGCTTCAGAAAGAAAAGCAACTTAAATTCAAAGACAGAAGTGTTAAATACAGTGGTTCTGAAATAACTTTAGGTTCTGATGGCCCTCATTATTCAGTGGCTGAACCTGAAATAGCTGTTAAAGAAAGAAAGGTTCAGAAGGAAGAACATGTTTTAGAAAACAGCAGTAACAAAAGTAGTGGTTCTGAAATAAATTTAAATTCTCATGTCCTTCCTCAGTCAATGACTGGAAAGCCTCAAATAGCTGTTTTGAAGGAGGACCATGTTGACCCAGAAGATGAAAATACTGAATCAAGAGGTTTTGAAATAAATTTTCATGTTGATACCCCTCGTCCTTCAGTCATTGACCAGTCTCGCGTAGCTCTTTTGAAGGAAAAACATGTCGATCTGGAAGGCACAAACAGAGAATCCAGTGTTTATAAAGTACGTTTTGATTCTAATGACCTTCTTCAGCCATTGACTGAACAATTTCAGGAAGTGGTTAAACAAACAAACATGTGGAAGGTAGAGGATATTGGCTTGGAAAATAAAGTCGAACCTAATGGTTCCAAATTAATACAGGATTCTGATGTTTCTCTTCGGTCTTTGCCTGATCAACCTGAAACAGCTGCTAAACAAATAAACCTTGAGAATGAAGGTCGTGTGTATTTCGAAGACAATAACAGCCGATACAGTAGTTCTGAAATGAGTTTGGATTCTGATTACTTGGCTCAGTCAGTAGTTGATCAATCTCAAGTAACTATTTTGGAGAAGCAGCATATTGAGCTAGAAGATAAGCACAATCAAACTTGTGGTTCTGAAATAAGTTTTGATTCTGATGACCCTCTTCAGTCAGTGGCTGACCAGCTTAGAGAAACTGTTAAAGAAATAAGCCTTTGGAAGGATGAAGATGTGGAAGATAGGGGAGATAAATCTCAGGGCTTTGAAATTATGTATGATTCTAATGTCCCTTTTCAGTCAGTGGCTGGCCAAACTGAGGAAGTCATTAAGGAGATCAACCTTTGGAAGAAGCACGTAGACTTGGAAGGTAAGATTGTCAAACTCAGTGATTCTAAAATAAATTTTGTTTCTGATGGACCTCTTCAGCCTGTGACCAATGAAATTCAAGAGGCTACTACACAAATAAATCTCGTAAGGGAGGGACATATCTGTCTGGATGACAAAGACTATGAACCCAATGATTCCGAGGTAATTTATGTTTCAGATGTCCCTCTTCAGTCAGTGGTTGAGCACTCACATGTTTTGGAAGATGATCATGTCAATTTGGAAGATAAGAGCAATGACCCTTGTCCTGAAGTAAGCTTTGCTTCTGATGGCCCTCTTCAGTCTGTGGCTGACCAGCTCCAAAAAGCTGTTAAAGTAATAAGCCTTTGGAAGGAAGACCGCATTTACCTGGGAGACAAGAGCTATAAACTAGGTGATTTTGAAGTAAGTTATGATTCCGATGTCCCCTTAGTGGCAGATCAACCTCCCGTAGTTGTCAAACAAACAGACTTGCAAAAGAAAGATCATAATGACCTAGAAAATAAGAACTGTGAACCTAGTGTTTCTGAAATAAAATGTGATTCTGGTATTCATCTTCAGTTGGAAGTCGATCACCCTCAAATGGTTTGCAAAGAAATAAACCTTCAGAGGATAGCGCATCTTGGCATGGAAGAAAAGACTAGTGATTCTGAAGTAATGTCTGATTCTGATGTCCCTCTTCAAATCGTTGTTAATGAATTTCAAGTGTCGGTCAAAGAAGCGAATCTTCAAAAGATGCTGCTTGTGGACCTGGTGACCAGTGATAGTGATTGTGAAATGATTTCTGATTCCGGTATCCCTTTTCAGCCAGTGATTGACTCACCTCAAATGACTGTTGAAGGAATTGACTGTATAAATGCAAAAAGTTTTGATCTAGAAGGTGAGTGCTATGACTGTTGTGATTCTGAATTAGGGTATGTTTGTGAAGCGTCTCCTCGATCAGTGTCAAACCAATCCAAAAAGACTTTTAAAGTAATAAACCAGAAGAAAGACTATATTATTCTGGAAGAGTCAGGCTGTGAATCTTATGGTTCTGAAATAAATTTTCAAATTGATGACACTCATCAGTCCTTGGATTGCCAATCGCCAGGGTCTGATAAAAAAGTGATCAGCTATATTGACCCAGAAGATAAAAGCTGTGAACCTAATAGTCCTAAAAGAAATTTTAAATGGGAAGATACTTCTCAGCCAGTGACTCATCATCCAGAAGAAGTCAACTTTTGGAAAGATCTAGAAACCACTGGCCCAAAAGATAAGAACTGTGAATGTAGTGTTTCTGCAGTGGATTGTAATGCTTCTCCCGAGTCAGCAATTCTTCAAATGGCTGATGAAGACAACCTTTTGAAGTTAAAATGTACAGAAAGTATGAGCTGTGAACCTTGTGGTTCTGGGATGAATTTTCAGTGTGATCCCTCTTTTCAGTCTGCCACTGACCAGCCTCAGGAAGCTGTTAATAAAGTAGACTTATTTAAGAAAATATCTGTTGATGTGAAAGAAACGAAGCATGATTCCCGCTCAAGCTCAGTTGCCAAGGTTGATCCTGTAAAGAACCGGAAGAAAGCAAAGGGGGTCGTAGAAGATAATACTGATGAACCCGTTCTTGAAGCCTTGCCTCATGTCCCTCCTTCATTTGTGGGGAAAACGTGGTCTCAGATAATGAAAGAAGATGACATGAAAATTAATGCTCTCGTGAAGGAGTTTAAGGAAGGTCGTTTCCACTGTTACTTTGATGATGACTGTGAGACCAGGAAAGTAAAAAAAAAAAATTTGAATGAAGAAAAAAAGATTACCTCGGCTGACCTTAATGACACTGCATTAATTCAAGTTCTATTAGACTGTGATGATATTATTGATGACTTTTCAGTAGCCTTAGATAAACCTAGCCATCATCCCACAGAAAAGAGGCCTTATGAACAAACATGGCGAGTGGCTTCTCGATGTCAGGCTGTGAAAGTTAGCCATGGAACTCAAACCAATCTCATGAGTTACCTAGTGACGAAAGGAATAAATGGACAAGAAGAAGACTCGCCAAGGAAGCGTTTACTTTTACACAATGACACAAAACCAAAAAAAATCAAAATTGGAACAGTCGAATTTCTTGAATCATGTACTAACATTTTGAAGCCTTTGCACCCCAATGCCTTAGTCTACGTTCTTTCTTCAAATATTAAGCTGAAGGAAGGAGATTCCTTCAACTTCTCTAAAATGAGGCACTGCAGTGATAAAAATCAGGATTTTAGCATACAGTGCAAATATAAACAGAGTTCCTTTAATTACGACCTATTGAGTAAACAAATTGTAATTAATCCTCCTCTGAACATAGAAGTACCAGAGTCTGACAGGAACAACTGGGTTCAAATTCATTTTAGTGACCTAAACTCCAGCGCAGGAGACAACGATGCTCATGTACAAAGCTCTGCTACAATACCTTTTATGACACTGTCGGTAAGACATGAATTAATGTCACACCCGGGGGCCAGTGGATCTTGTGTGTTTCTGGAAAAAGCAGAGATCTTGAATTCTAGTGATGATATACAGGAAAGTAAATTCCAGTTAACTCTTTTAAATGATGATGTCAAGATCTCGCCAAAATCGGTTAGAAATAAGTCTTTAGAAAGTAAAAAGAAAATTCGGAGAAGGAAGATGACAAATAATAAACCAGGATTTCTCAAAAAAGTTCACAGACCAATTATTCTCCAGCAAAAAACCAGAATCACTTCAGAAAAACAGTCAATTTGGATTCAGACCAAACCAAATGATATAATCAGAAAGTATCTTTCAAAATACTCCATGTTTTTGCGTCGTAAATATCAGTCCAGGAGCGCTTTTATTAGTATGCATCGTAAGAAGAAAAAACCTGATGTCAGTAGGTTAAAGGAGGTGCAGAGACCGGCCAACATGCTTTCAAACTCAGTTCCATCAGCTGGTGGTGAAGAGCAGTTAAGAGCTATAGCGAGCTCTTCTCCCAAGCAACCTTTGCAGGATTCTTCCAGCAAGGCAGGAAATAAGAAGAGTGGTAATAAAAAGAAACCTAGAAAGAAAAAGAGGCGTCCTAAACCTGTTAAAATATATGATTTGAGAAGTTTATATTCTCAGGTGCCATATTCGGATAGAATGATGACTCGGCTATTACACAAATTGTTACTTAGTAAGGCACACTAGAATTGTTTGTGTTAAAGCTAGATGACGATTCAGAACTTTAATTGAAAAATATTTGGTACTTAGTGCTCATGGCTCTCCCAACTTTGGCAAAAAAATTAAACTTCAACTATTTTGCTATAGACATCATTTTCAGAACTTTTATATTTTAAAATTAGTGTTTAAGGTCTTTTTTTTAAGATTCAAAAGACCCTTTGTCCATTTGCTACAGAAGAGCTTCATCTTAATTTGTCACATAATTTATCAGTATATATGCTTTTCTCCCTCAAGTCATGTCCCTTTTTATTTATTTTTTATGGTTGTATCATGTCAGCAGGTTATAATATTACAAGAATGGATATGGCAAACCGCTATCTTTTTACTTTTTAAAAATTGGAACAATGAATATGTACTTATTTTCAGTGTGTTTCAGAGTGGCATTGTCAATATTTGTGTTCTAACTGGATAATTAAAAAGAAGAAACTGGCTCAACTTTTAAGTTGAGATGACTTAATACCAAACAAAATATAATTTACCTGTCTTTTAAAAGCATTCCAGAGAATGAGATTCCATAATCTTTAATCCAGTTTTTTAAAACTGCCTGTTGATTTTATATACGTAACACAAACTTCTGCTTTATTTAAAACGGATCTGCAAGTGTCTGACTTTCCACATTTGGACACATGCACGTATACAATCTCTGTAATATACAGTCTCTGTTTTTCTTTAGCATTATTATATCTTAAGGGGAAAATGATCTTGCCGGTGTGACCGTACTTTTGTACCACCTTTATTCCCTTCTACCACAAGGGTTGGTGGTTTAATACGAAAATCCAGGTTATCTTATGGCCTCATCTCTTAAAAATATTCTAGATACTACCGTATTTTTCAATTGCTTGAACTGAAATTATTGGTTTGGTAATTTGGACAGACAATTAATTGTCATTAACGAATTATTTATAATCTTTATATTTGAAAAGATCTAATAAAGCTGACAACCTAAGTGGAGGTCTGTTTTACAGATGAAAATCTATATACATTGGTTTGGCTTTCCTTAAACTTGCTAACTATTTTAATAGTTCAAATAAAAGATGTTAAGATACACAGCTTAGGTCTGAGGTACTCAGAATATGTTTAGAGCCTTTATTCAGGGATACTGGTTGGGCTGATACAGATGTGTCCAGTAACTCTGCTAAACCAAGGATTGTGGATCGTTTTCTATCAATAATGTTAAAGGAAAACATGAATTTCAACTATTGTATAAACCATGTTTGAAACTTTATCAGTGTGCCATGATTTCAGAGATAAAAATGTGTTACCTTAGAATTAATGAATATAGTGTTGTGACAGTTGATTTCTAAATGTAGTTTTATTTCAGGGGCCATTATTTAACCTGTGGGTATGTTGTGATGGTGTTATGTTCTAATTTCTTTACTTCTAAACTTAAAACAGTAATTATATTGAAAAAATGGACCGATATTTATATTTTTAATTGTAAAGCAACTTTAACCTTGCCTCAGATACAAACATTTTAATTTCCTTTCTTAAAATATCACTACAGGTCACTAGTTTAAAGTAATTCCCCAGTTTTAATTTAGGAAGAATACTGCCATACTGATTGGAAAGTAAACAAGTAGCTAATATATAAAATATTCTATTTGCGGGTATTGGTGTCTTTTCTTTTTATGAAATAGACACACAATTCCCTTAAGTACTGTTAGGCATTCTGCATACTTTTAGTGTAAGTTTAAAAGGCAAGAGATCATATGGAAATAATGTACTATGTAATTATGATATATCTGTTGTGATTACATCATGCAAAGAGGACAGTTCTTATAATTCAAGTGATCAAAAACTTAAAAAATTTACTGCCTTTTTCACATTGGAAACTCTTCTAGGTTCCATTTTTTTTGAGAGGAAAAGGTTTATATTTAAAATTTATATTACTAAAAATATAAAAGTATACAGTCCTGATGTTTTAAAAAACATTTTGGGACTACTTGCTAAATTTCTGTAATCATTATTTTAGACAAGCTTGAAAACTTGAAATTGTAAAAATTATAATTACATTAAATTAGAAATGAATTACTTTCAGAATTTGATAGGTTATAAGATGTGCCCCTTTGTCAAGATACATTTTGGCTTAATTTGCAGATTATATTAAAGTTGGATGTTTTTTGTATATTCAAGAGTGCATTAATTTCTTTTAATAGTGGAAAATTGAATTTACAGCCACAATGAATATTTTAATAGTCTTGTACTTGTTCAGTATCTTGCATAGATTTTTATTATAATTGTCCCAAGTTATACAGTATGTGGACAATATTGTGTAAAGTGTGTTTTGCATTTGTGCATTTAAATTATTTGTGTAAGTAGGGCTTTGAGTGACACTTTTTTGGTAAAGAGAAACTATATTTAAATATTCAAACAATTATATATTTCCATGTAAAACTAATGTGAAGACTAATGTATTTTTTATAATGCAATTTAAAGAGTAAATTTGTTTTCGAAGTTATCAAGATAAAATTTATCAAATAATGAAATTTGTCTCTACTTTCTCAAGTTAGGAACTTTTTCTGGGAATACTTAAGGAATTAGAGAATAATGAAAACAGAAGTTCATTTTATAAATGGTCTTAGAGATAATAAGAGAATATAAATGTTGATGCTGGTGAGAAAATACTGTTTAACCAAAGATATACAGGTTATGTTCAATGGAGTAGCTATTTCAAAGATTAAAATTAAATGACTATTTATTTGTATGGTGGAGTGGTGGGTTAGCATCTTTTCACTTTGTATACCTGTATTGAAAGTTAGTGAACAGGACTGAGTTCAGGAGGCAATATCTGTATCATCATTTGACACCTGCTGGGAAGGGAACTTTGATGCCTCCAGTACCATTAACATATGTCATAAAGGATGAGAAAACATGGAGGAAGGTATATATGTTGGTGAGGTAGGTGCCTTTGGCCTTGGTAGTAGTGACTTCTGGGGTTTTTTGGTGCAGGATTATATTATTAAGATGAACAGCAGCCTACTCTTTATAATAAAAAATTACTAGAGTAAAAATATAAAATGAGAGTTCTTTTTCCCATAATGGAAATGTGGAAAGAAAGAAAGAAAATGTGGAAAATGCTGAAAAATCATGTAATTAGGGAATTACACATCAAAATGTCAGTTTACGAAGATGAGGGGCTGAGGAAGAATCTCAACATTTCCTTATACTTCTTTAGGCCCTAAATATTAGGGAAATAACACATGTAATATGTTTCCTTTGTTCTTTTTATATGTATATTTAAAAAGTTCTCTGTAATTTGAACTATTTCCCTTGATTAAGAAATAGGTCTAGGATCAACTATAGTTTCTTGCAGAATCTTTAAATAAGTATGAATTTACTTTTTTTCTGTGTTTATAATTTATTACATGCATGTTGTTTTTGTACATGCCTTTTATTTTTTAAGTTTTTAAGCTGGACACGTATGTGTGTGTATGTGTACATCTTGAGCCCTTACTAAGTGCCAAGCATTGTTCTAAGCTTTTAACCTGTATTATCTCATTTGATCTTCAAAGAGCCCTTATGAGTTAGGTACTGTAATTGTTGCTAAATAGCAGATGAGAAAATTGAGGCATAGAGCCTCGATTTTGGGATTAAAAGTGAGTTGTTATTTACTATAATCAAATGAGGATCACAGTTAATCCCCATTCCCATCCCCAGCCCCAGGTCACCAGTTACCTTCTGTTTCTCTTTACAGTTTAGCCTTTTCTGGATGTTTCATGTAAATGGCATCGTACAACGTGGTGTTTTGTGTCTGGCTTCTTTTCGTTTACTGTAACGTTTTTGAGGGTCTTTCAGGTTGTGGTTTGTATCAGTATTTTGTTCTTTTTGATTGCTTAATAGTATTTATAATTAGTTTTTAATGAAGCTGGTGACAGATTGCTGTCTCCTAATAACAAATATGATAAAAGCTGTTAGGCTTGAGGCTGGCTGTTTCTGCCTCATACCTGTTATCCTTGATTACTACCCCAGTTCCAAGACCAACAAGCTATCTGCCTTTTTGAGTGCTCTTATCTGATACTTGAATGCTTTATGCTTCCTCTGTCTTTGACTCATTCCCTTTACTGCCCATCTTGGGGTTCTTTTTAGTGTGCTTTGTGAATTCTCATTTTCAGTGGCAACATGTTAGTGTTCTCAGTTCTTTGCAACGGATTGCCTTCAGGTAACCAAACTGAGAATCGTATCCAAGTTGCCCGTTATGCTAAGCTACACGTGCTGTAGAGACAGGAAGTGTTGATGATGGTACTTGTCATAGTGAACATTCTTTTTAAAAATTACTCTCCTACATAACCACTGTCACATTGTCAAAACCGTTGATATGATATAATTAACACTGATAGAACCTTCTACTCCACATACCTTATTCAGATTTTACAGATTGTCCCAAAATGTGCTCTGTAGGTTCAGCCTTTGCTCCAGCATCGCACACTGTCATAATTCTGGTTTCCTTCAGTATGGAGCAGTTCCTCAGCCTTTCTTTGTATTTAATAACTTGACATTTTGAAGTGTACAAACCAGTTTCTTTGTGGAATGTCCCTCAATTTGAGTTCGTCTGATGTTTCTTTATAGTTAATGCTTTTTGTGTGTGTATGTGGCGGGGGGTGGGGGACGGGAAATTCTGTGGACTTCTCAGTGTATCATAACAGCAACCATGTGATGTCTGTTTGAATAAAGTGGTGATTAAAGATATCCAGTCTTTGTCCTTATCTTAGAAAAAAAACCTTTTCATAATCTGAAATGGGGGCCTGTCATAGAGGGTGAGTTAGCAATAAATAGTTACATTTTTTTGCAACTGAATTTTGAGATGATTGTGATTGTGAAAATTTTATCATCTAACTCATTATAGACAAGACAGTAGCTTATTCATACATTTAACAAATGTTACTTATAGCCCTACTATGTGCCTGGCCCTCTGATGGGTGCCAAGGATATAAGTATCAACCAAAGAGGTCTCTTGCTTCCTTTCATTAACCGATAATGAGTGAAAGAGAATTTTAATAGTGTTTAGTTAGCGGACTTGTAACAATTCTGCTTTCAAAAGATCATCAATAAACCTATAACACAAATACTGCTATTGGACATAGAAAAATTCCTCAACTTAATGCACAGAGGCTCATTGCAAGGCATTTCTCAACATTATCTAGAAGGATTGTTTTCCTGTGTTTGCATTATTAAAAATCGTCTCTTTTTTTGTTGGTTTGATGCACTAAGATGGAGTGTTACATAGACTCACTTTGTTACCCATCTTATCACGGCATGGAAGTGACTTCCTAAGGACAAGTTGGTACATCCATCAGATGTTTAGTTTTTGAGATATTGTCAGCTCTTTTGAACTGGAAAATTAGGGGGTTTATTTTTATTTGGAGAGTTATTACTAGTCATATAATGAAATAAATGATATTTATCATCCATCGAGTTAAAACTGTTTTACTAGGTGAATGACTACTTGAAAATATGTGTTCCAACATGATTATTTCACTGTACCAAATGGTAGCTCCTTACTGCAGTTTTACACAGTGGCCTTCTTACATCTAAGATGTATTTAAGTGAATATTTGAGGTAGCATTGATGTCTATAAAATTAGAGAAACCACTTGATCCTTATTAACTGATCACCTTTAGGTTTCCTTACTGGGCGAAGTAGCACATTTGTAACCTAGCACAGTTACACAATTTCTTTTCTGTTTCTACAGAGAAAGAATCTCAAGTCTAATGTAAAATGTGGCGTGATGATGTGTGACAGTCTTGAGAAACATCACAATAACCCTGAATTTCTCAGTATAATCAGTAGCAACTGCCAGATGGCATTCAGAGGCAGGACATTTCTTCAACTGCACTGCATGATCATTTTGAACGTGAAGATAGTTATGATGGCAGAATAAAAACAAAACTAAATTTCCTATTATAATCAAGTGGTCCTTTTAAAAATTGATGATAGCTGGGCC